GCATGCAAGGCGAGAGCTCTACCGCTTGAGCCACATCCCCAGCCCCTAGTATTACTCTTAATACTAGTGTTATAGGGACAAACAAGGCAAGGCACGGAAGATAGCAGGAAACAGTTTTATTTGGCTTCAGCCAGGTTCAGAGGGCACAGCTTTTGCTGTAATCAATCTCCTGAAACCCGAGTTCAGGGAGTTTCAGAGTTTTATACCCAGCATGTAAGGGGAGGGGCTCAGAAGTTCAAAGTCTGCAGAAGTTCACATAAAAGCAGCTTTATCTTTCACTGTTCTGGGCAAGTTAACTCTTCAAGGACAACACCTGAGAAGGGGAGAGCTTCTCCCTTTCTATTTTTCCCCTGCCGGCTGTTACCATGGAGCCCATTTGTAACTTATCTTAAAAATGTAGACATCTCTGAAGCCCAACTCAAGGCCAGAGGCCTTGTTTGCACATTTCTTCAAAGTACTATACTGGATACATTTGTGAAAAACTAGTAAGGGGGTGTCCAGCACCTGGAGTGCTGGTATCTTCTCAGCCAGTGGCCAAGTAAAACAGGGCGACACGAAAATAGGAAGTCTATCTACATTGGACTCTTTCTCAGAGACTCTTTTGCTGACAGTCCTAAAATCAGCCATAGTGGAGAAAGGGGGTGCCAYTTCACTAGCAGTTGGAGAAAATATCACAGCAAGTTTCTTTTTCCTAATCTTCATAGGAAAAAAAGTAGATGAATAGAAAAATATCCATCAAGCTAGGTTCATAGTCAGAGAGGCTGACCGGCCTGAGAAGGCAATGAGTCATTCTCGAACTGGGAGGTGATTCATATGCAAAAGAACAGAACCAATTAAAAGAAGGCAGTGTTGTGTACCCGAAATCTCAGCAACTTGGGACACTAAGGCAGGAGGATCATAAATTTGAGGCAAGCCTGGGCAACTTCCTAACAAGACCCTCAGCAAACTAGTGAGATCCTGTTTCAAAGTTAAAATTAAAAAGTTCTCCTGGATTCAGTCCCCAGTATCAAAAAATAAAGGATCATTTTCTGTGAAATTTTAGCGTGTTATATAAAACTTTAATAAAAAGGTTTTAATTTCTGCTAGGAGTTCAAAGTTCATTGAAATTTTAAATAATGCTTTTATAACTGTTGAACTTGATCTTATTGGTAAGGGTTTATATTTTATAGAAAGGTGGATTTGCTTTTTTTAGGTTAATTAGGGTGCCATTTTAGGCTTTATTGCTGCCCTGGGAACATTTTAAAATGACTGTCACTAATGTTAAATATTTCTAAAAATGTAAGGTAAAACAGTTTTCATCTTGAATAAAGTAAAATAACTAAAATATATTCTTAGTGGACTTCTTTTAAAACTCTCTTATGTGAGTACACCTGCTGCACACTCCCATGAAAAGAATGTATGCTACATTTTTCCACAAGGGTAAGTACTGATTGAAGTATAAGGCCTATTGACCAAATTTCCTGGATTTAAGTACTAACTCTGCTACTTATCACCTTTTTGAGCTTTTGTTTGGGTAATATACTTAGAACAGTGTTTAGTGCTCTGTGTCAGATATTCTGATGACAWGTATACCTGGTATTAAGCCTTGGTGTTCAACAGTCTGATTAAACATTTGTCCTTTTGCTGATAACTTTCATGAGGATAGGTCCAGGACTGACATGTCCATTTCTGTTGTATCTCATATATCCAGCTTAGTGCATATTGTAGGTACTTAATAAATTGTCTTTGTTATTATTATTACTTTTTGGTCCTGGGATTGAACCCTGAGGTGATTTATCACTGGTCTATACCCAGACCCTTTTATATTTTATTTTGAGACAGGGTCTCAGTATCAGTTTGGGAGGCTGAGACAGGAGAATCACAAGTTCAAGACCGGCCTCAGCAACTTATCGGGATGATTTCAAAAAAAAAAAAAAGGACTGGGGATGTAGAACACCTCTCGGTACAACTCCAGCATAGAATATTTAAAAAATAAATAAATAAATAGAAAGGACATGAATCTATAAAGGACTAGTAATTTACCTATAAAGAGAAATAATACTATAAATGTTTTTCTCTCTGTTTTTCTTTAAAATGTAAAGTTTTCAGTTGAATTAAAGACAAAAGTAAGGGGGCAGATATTATATGGAAACTTCAGATTTCATATGGAAAGTGTACTTTTCTGTACAATGCTGTTTAATAGAACCAGTAAATGTTAGTCTAGCATGGAATAATTATTATGATCATTTAAATTTTATTATAAATGATATACTGACTGTTGGCCTGATAACTTAGGCATGGAGGATATATCTTCATTTCTTTGTTTAAGTGTGATATGTGYTTGTTTTTCTAGGGAAAACAACAAGGCATAATTGAGGGAGAGTTTGCCATTTGTATTAGTTTATATCACGGTTATGAATTATTGCAGCAAATGGGAATGAGATCATTATATTTCTTCCTTTGTGGAATTATGGATGGAACAAAAGGTAAATTATATAAAATTATTTAAAGAAATAATGCACGTGTCATTTTGGTTAAAGACAAATTAAACCAATTTGAGTGTCTTAAAAATGCTTTATTCTTAAAASCAGGGGGCTAGTTATGTAATAAATGGCTGTATTTGTTTTTGAAAATTACTGAAAAAGGAAAGTAATTTATTAATATATATGTGAATGTGGAATTGGAAAAAGTTGCTGACTTTCTTTTGCTTTTTTTTTTTTAAAGAGAGAGAGAGAGAATTTCAATATTTATTTTTTATTTTTTTTTAGTTTTCGGCAGACACAACATCCCTGCCTACATGCGGTGCTGAGGATCGAACCCAGGCCGCATGCAWGCTAGGCGAGCGCGCTACCGCTTGAACCACATCCCCAGCCCAAAAGTTGCTGACTTTCATGTTTAAATTTGATAAGGTTGAGGCTGGGGGTAGTGGCTCAGCAGTAAAGTGCTCGCCTAGCACGTGTGAGGCCCTGGGTTCGATCCTCAGCACCACATATAAATAACAAAAAATAAAAAGATATGTGTCCAACTACAACTAAAAAATAAATATTTAAAAGTAAATAAATAAATAAATTTGATGAGGTCATTGTTTTAAAATTTGCATTCAATGTTGAAGTTTAGTTTTTTAATAAATAATAAATCTGACTAGATTGCTATTAAGTTTATTTGTAAATTTTTTTCTAAATTTTAAAGGAATGACACGGGCCAAAAATGAGCTTAGTCGAAATGAGGACTTCATGAAACTCTATAATCATCTAGAGAGCATATTTGCACATATGTGTGATACTTCAGCAAGTGACGTTTCTGCTATCCAAAAAGGTCTGATTTAAAACAAAAATTATATATTGGTTTACCAGGARTGGTGGTACATGCCTGTAGTCCCAGCTACTTGAGAAGCTGAGGCATGAGAATTGCATTAGCCCAGGTTATGTAACACAGCAAGACCATGTCTCAGTATAAAAAACCAGTAATCATTCATTTATATATATATATATATAAAATATATAAATAAAATATATAAATAAAATATATATATAAATAAAATGTTTAAAATTAGTTTATAAATTAATAAATATATGTTTAAAATTAATTTTGAAATTTTGCTCTGTTGATGTAAACGTCTATTTGTATTTATATAACAACAGGTTTAAAGATTTTATTCTGTTAGAATTAATGTAGTCAGCAGTATACATAATAGATATTAGTAGTGGTTACTAATAGTGAAAATTCTCAGAACTGCCAAAAATTGATTTAGAGTTTGACTAAATATGTAYTCTTTCCCCTTTTTCAATTTGGATTCTCTTTTAGAATATAAGTTTCATAAAAATTCCAATATTTTCTTCTGATATGCTTATGTGCTATGTAGATGCTACTTACTGTTTAAAATGAGGATGTAGCTCAGCAGTACAGAACTTAGATAGCATGCTTGATTCTCTGGGTTCAATCTCTGGTACCACTAAAAAAAAAAAAAGGAAAATTTTAGCATATGTAATTTGAAAAGGATATCTTCATACACATTAGAATAATTAATATGGAAAAATACTAAGAGAATGTTGATTTTTTTTTCCCCCCCACAGGAGATAAAGATAAAAAGTTTTTCTATAGTCATCCAAAGTTAAAGAAATTAGAAGAAGTTGTAGTTGAACACTTCAGATCATGGAATGGTAGGTAATAATTTATGGTTCAAGGAAAGTTTTGAAAGAACTAAAACTAAATTTGAAGTTGTACTAACTTTTCTTGAAGAAGGTGGATTTTTAATTAAAAGCTCTGAGAAAGTTTGGAAGGGTGGGAGTAAGGGAAATGGTGGGAATGTTAATTAATTATTCTATGAAAAAATTCAGTTTGGTGCAACACAGGGGAAGAAGGCAATGAAACTTTGTATAATATAGTGGCAGGGAAATGTGAAGTAGGAAAGAAGAGAGAGAAAGAGAGGGAACATCATGGATGAGAGTTATTTTATAGGGCAACTAGAGAAGACCTGCCTCTAGAGTGATAGTGGAGCAAACCTTCAGAATTTCTGGGGGAGGATCATTCCAGGCAGAGTATAGCAGATTCAAAGATCTTGAGGCAGTAGGGTGCTTGGTATGATGATTAAGGACTAGTAAGCAGACCAATGTGGCTATAGTGGTGTGAATGAGGATGAGAGTGGTATAGGTGAGAGGTAGCAAAGGCTAGATCATGCATGCATGGCTGGTAGGCCAACTCAAAACTTGGTTTTTTAATCTATGGCTGTTGATGGTTTTTGAAACCATCACTAGCAGCAAAGAACAGYAAGGATAAATATGTAAGGTAGCACATATGTTTATTAGCTTGATTTAACCGTTCAAAAATGTATGTGTGTATGTATATATACATATGTATATAAAATGTATATCATAAATGTATTTTCACTTATTAAAAAATACAAGAACAACATAGAGAGGAAAGAGCAAACATGTTAAGATGTTTCTGAGTCATCCAAGTAGAAATGTCAAGTAAGCACTGGACAAATAAATCTGGATTTCAGAAGAATGGTCTGGGCTACTTTTATGTATTTGCATATATATGAATAAATTTTGGAGTCATCAGCATAAAGATAATATTTAAAGTTTCAGGGATGGATGTGATCACCAGGAAGATAGTTTGGAGACAGAAGAGGGTCCAGAATGGTGTCCTGAAAACAGCATTTAGAGTTCAGAGAAAGAAAGCTACCAAGGATCTTGAGGAGGAAACCAAGTGAAGTATGATAGAAGCTGAGGGAAGAGACTATATTAGTAGGAAAGCGTGAWTAATGTTCAGTTTTGTTGAGAAATGTGGTAAAATGAACTGAAAAGTATTCATTGAATTTGGCAATATGAAAGTTGTGGATAGCTTTGGTACAAGGAGCTTCATTGAAATGAGGGTAGAAAGGCAAGCTCCAATAAGTCGGAGATAGGCTTTGTGGTGAAAGTAGCAGTGTATCAGGAGTTAACAGATCCAAAGGCTTGATGCAATGACAATTCAAAGGAGGTTTGTCTAGAATAATTTTACTTGTTACAGCTGCTTACTGCAAGTCCTACTTTTTGCTTATTGTATTTATTGCTTGTATGGATTCTGAACTTGGTTTGTTGCTTAAGTACTATAATTTATATGCATTAGATTAGTCTTTAGGGTTGTAGTGAAGATTAAATTAGTTAATATAAAATATGYGTACTGTAGTCTTTGGCACACATCTGATGGTTAATATAAGTCATAAAAAAGAAAAAAGGGCCAGACGTGTGGCACACACCTGGATTCCCAGCAGCTTGGGAGGCTGAGGCAGGAAGATCAAGAGTTCAAAGCCAGCCTCAGCAAAAGCAAAGTGCTAAGCAACTTAATGAGACTCTGTCTCTAAGGAAAGTACAAAATAGGGCTGGAGATGTGGCTCAGTGGTTTAGTGCCCCTGAGTTCAATCCCTACCACTTACAAGTTTTTTTTTTACTTATTTTTAAATATACTTCAGAGCGTAACTCCCCACCACAAAAAAAAAAAAAAAAAGGATTGTAAAAGTCCTAACCAAATTCATAAACAAAAGAGATAATAATAAGCTGTGTGCGGTATAATCCCAGCAGTTTATGAGGCAGGAGGATCACAAGTTCAAGTTCAAGAGCTGGAGATATAGCTCAATTGGTAGAGTGCTTGCCTCACAAGTTCAAGTTCAGCTCCAGCAATTTAATGAGAACTTAAGCAACTTAATGAGACCTAGTCTCAAAATAAAAATAAAAAGATTTGGGGATGTGGCTCAGTAGTAATATGCCTCTGGGTTCAATCCTCAGCATACTCTCTGCCACGGGGCGGGGGGGGGGGCGGCGGGGGGATGGGGGGGATGATTAGCCTTTATTGGGCAAAAAGAAATAATCACCAAAACATCCACTCAAGTTGTAATTATGAATCAATTATTATGTGCAAAAAACTATTTTTTACTTCCTGTTAATCATCAATCCTTTTTAAATAAGAAGAAACTAAACCTCAAAGAAATTTAATACCTTTATTTACAATCACCCAGAAAGGAAGTGGCTCAGCCACAAAAATCATGTTCTTATTAGCTTATTTACTGTCTCCCAAGCGTAGAGACATTGGGAACAGCTTTGGAATTGACTGTAGAGTATATTCTGCATTTATGTTTAGGAATTTCAAGTATAGCAGATTTCGGGATGCATGGCCTATATTAAATTAGTCTTTAGTAAACAGAAGGGCTGGTCAAAAGTGATTCTGATAATTCTTGTGTGATTTATTTAGTACTGTGACAGCCAATGAGAAATAGGGCGCCAGCCTTATTAAAAATTGCTAGAAAATATAGCAAAGAATAGTTAAAATATAGTTAAATATTTTTAAAAAAGAATTATTGTTTCTTAGTATATAGTTTCAGACTTGTATTTTGACTAGTTCTTATCTAAATGTTTTTCAGAAACTTTTAATTGAAATATTTTCTGTTATATAGCTCAAAACATCTCCGAAAAGAAATTTGGTGAGACCAGAGTTATGATCTTCTCTTCATTTCGAGATAGTGTTCAAGAAATTGCAGAAATGTTTTTACAGCATCAGCCAATTATTAGGGTAATGACTTTTGTTGGCCATGCTTCAGGGAAAAGCATGAAAGGTTTTACTCAGAAGGAGCAACTGGAGGTAAGTATTTTTGGAGGTGATGAAATAAAAATAAAATTGATTATCTTTGTACTTAAGGTTATTTTTATTTTAACGTACTGGCAATTGACTACTGAAAATAATTTTATAGTAAGAATGTGAATAAAGATTATCTTATTTTGAAAAATCAGGTAGTGTTTTAGTGGTTTTGAAAGTTTTATTATTTTTCATAACCTAAAGTATAATAGTTAATATATTATACTAGGTCCATACAATCTAGGTTGGAATTCTATCACTTACAAGTTTTTTTTACTTATTTTTAAATATACTTCACAGCGTTGTTGTAAGCATTAAGWGATATCTTATTGTAGAGTTCTTAGTAAATGTTTTCTATTTAAGTGACTTTAATAATTTCTTCTAAACCAATAATGAGCTATCTCTTTCATCAGTTACTTAAAAATCTTTTTTTAAAAGAAGGATATTTTAAAATTTATTTATTTTTTTTTAGTTGTCCATGGACCTTATTTTATTTATTTATATGGTTCTGAGAATCGAATCCAGTGCCTCCCACATTCTAGGCATGTGCTTTACCACTGAGCTATAACCCCTGCCCTAAAAATCTTAGGTTAGAGGAAACCATAATGTATTTGAGATAGCCCAGTGCTCTGAATAAGAAGTCATAAATTTAAGAAGTGCTGTGACATTTTGAGGGGGATTTTAGACTATTTTTATAAATCTGTAGGTTTTTGCAGATTAGCTATTTTTAGTCCATATATCAATAGTTACTTATAAATAGATGTGTCTTTAACGTGCAGTTCATTTCAACAGCTCCTTTCTTGATTTTTTACAATAGTAGTTGAGGAATTCCTCTTATTTTAAATTTATTAGACTATTAGACTTGTCTGCACTGTACTCTAAAGAAGCCATTTATGCTTACTAAATATGGTGTGGAAATTTCTTCAGTCTGAAGATAACAACACCTTTATCTGTTGTAACATCAGATTATAAGTAATTTAAAGGGTGTAGACATCTAGTGATTATTGCTAATTTTAACAGTTATATATAAATGAAAAATAAAGTCAAATTTTTTGCCTTGTGGGGGGGGTCAAGCATTTTCAATATTTGAAATCCAATGTCTATTGGAAATATCCAATCTGGTCTTTGCCGGTGTCAATATTACCTGAAGTCACTRTTTCCTGATCTTGTTAGGCCCTGTAAGAAACTTAACTGGGCCGAGTGCGTTGGTGCACACCTGTAATCCCAGGAGYTTGGGAGGTGGAGGCAGGAGGATTGCAAGTTCAAAGCCAGGCTCAGCAATTTAGCGAGGCACTAAGCAACTCAGTGAGACTCTCTCTGTAATAAAATACAAAATAGGGCTAAAGATGTGGCTTAGTAGTCAAGTGCCACTGAGTTCAATTTGAGTGAGTTAGGATTTATTTATTTACATCAATAATCTTTTTATGTAGGCCAAGGTAACAGCTCTTTTTATTATTTCTTTATAATTACTTTCATTACAGCCATTTTATTCTGAAATGGGCTTTTATGCAAATAGTTGTGATTAAATTATCCATTTATTTAAAAACTGATTAGGTCAAGGAGGAAYAGTAGAGGCAGATCGTTTAGGGCTCTGTTGGTCATTTCCATTTTATTTAWTTATTTATCTTTTTGTGGTGCTGGGGTTTGAACCTAGGGTCTTGTGCATGCSAGGCCAGCACTCTACCAACTGAGCTGTATCCCCAGCCCAGTCATTTCCATTTTAATGATTTCTGTATTTACCCTAAATGAGATGAGAAGAAATCATTGGAGGGTTTGGAGCAGAGGAAGTTAATGATTTTATTTATATTTTGAAAGAATCACCTTGGTAGACACAGGGAGAACAGTTGAGGCTTACTACTATTCAAACTGAAGATATGATGGCTTGAACTAGAGTYGTAGTAGGAAAGCTTGTGAGAAATAATTGAGGTATATTTCAGAAGTCAAACTGACAATATTTATCCACAAATTAGAATAGTATGTGAGATAAAGGAATATTAAGTGTAACTCCTAGGATGATTCCAGATTTTTTTGTCTGAGCAGCTGAGATAACTATCAACTTAGATGGATAGAGTGCAGTAAAAACAGGTTTTGGAGAGAGTATCTGGAGCTTAGTTTTGGATATGTTAATTGTGTCAGGCCTGTTAGATTAATGTTTTTCCAAAACTGATAATGACCACTTTATTTCCTTCCACTTGCTTCACAAACTGATACTTTTGAAGAATATAATAAAAATGAATTGCTAGATAAGTAAAACTGATGAAAACCAAAGCTCTAGTCTGTTTTACTTTTTTCGTTAGAGTCAGCAAATATAAAACTTATTCTGTCAAATTTCTAAACCATTACTTTCAATTTTTGTACTTGTTGCCAACCAGTAATAAATAGTTCACAGGCTGGCACAGTATAAACAGATCATTGACCACACTTTGAGTAGCATTGTTTTAAATATCCAGTAGTGATGTTGAATATACAATTGAATATATGTCTTGAATGCATGGGAAAAGTTCACAGAAGTGAATATTCAATGACAGATCAATCCTAGGCAAATAAGTAACACTTTAAATTTTGACCGTTAACATCCTTTATTAATCTATTGACCATATTAAACACTTTCATTTTTCTACCTCTTGCACTGTGACCCATTTTTTACCTTCTCTGGTAAAAAAGGACACCTGTGTTACAATGTTAGAAACATATAATATTAAATCTTCCCTTGTCTTAATCCAAATCTTCYCTTATCTTAATCCATTACAGATTCCAGTTCTGATAATTAGTTCTCCCTGTACTCCGGTTTTCCATATTGAAGGAAAATCATTTGATCAATGATACTGTAAAGGTTTATAAGAGGAATTAACCTGATAACTTTATGTTTATATTTTATTACCTCACTTTTCAGGTGGTTATTTTTAAGGATTAAAATAATAAATTTTTGGAGTCAGATATCTAAATTCAAATGCTAATAAGTACTTATGAGAGTTTAGACAAACATCTTAATCTTACCTTTCAGATCTTCAGTTTCTTTAATAAAATGGATTGATGATATATACCTCATAGGATTGTTGGGAACAGTATCTAGTGCTCAAGTTTAGTACTTGGTACATAGTATGCCCTTCATTATAGTAACTATCATCAGCCAATTCAGCTTTTGATGTTGCATTTCTCTTTTAATTACCACCATTATTACTCCCCCATATACAAACCTGCCAGCGGTGGTGTTGATATGTATGGAAAAACTGGGGYTCACACAGTTGAGACTAAGCTTATAAGTCTTTAGAAAGTTTTTCAAAAAGCTTTGCTGATTTTTTCATGAATTCATTCTTATACTATTGTGGTTTCATAAAATAATCAGAGAAAACCTGAAATGACATTATGAAAAGGTATGATATGAATTCTGGGAGTAATAAAGCGTTCTTAATTTACCTAATCATACATTTAGGTCTAAGTTGTAACAAGTAGGGGTAATTTCTGTAGGCTATTTACTTCTCCTATGCCCCTTTTAGTTATGCTAAAAAATAAAATCGGGGGCTGGGATTGTGGCTCAGCAGYGGAGTGCTCGCCTAGCATGGGTGGGACCTGGGTTCGATCCTCAGCACCACATAAAAATAAAGGCATTGTGTTGTGTCCATTTACACCTAAAAAATAAATGTTTAAAAAAAAATAAAATCAGAACCTTCTCCTTGAGTGAGAAACTTTTAAAATTGTTGAGAATTCCTTATAGAATCATAATTGGGACTGCTCTTTCTATTTTATGAAAATTTCTTTTGCTTAGATTGCCATTTTATGCATTTTTTCATGTTCTGTGATATCATTAAAGTTGATTTTTAATCTGAATTCACCATTTTGTAATGAGTGAGAACAATATGCCTTGATCTGCAATTCTCTTTCATTTGTATCTAGCAGTTTTTAAGTCATTTTTATTTTAGGTAGTGAAGCGGTTTCGTGATGGTGGTTAYAACACATTGGTTTCTACCTGTGTTGGTGAAGAAGGTTTGGATATAGGAGAAGTTGATCTTATAATATGTTTTGATGCCCAGAAGAGCCCAATTCGTCTTATACAACGAATGGGTAGAACTGGCCGTAAACGTCAAGGCAGGATTGTTGTTATTCTTGCTGAAGGACGAGAGGAACGTGTAAGTAGACATATAAAAACATGATTTGACATTAGAAATATGATAAATACAGTCGAAAGACTACTGCCAATAATTTAGCATTCTAGGTCCAAATAATCTGTAGGTAATTGTAGTTTATTTTTTTCCCTTTGTGTTGGGTTTGAAATGTTCTTTTCTTATAATATAAGAATTTCTAACTAGATTCAGTTTCCCATTTTTTTTGTGTGTGTGGTGCTGGGGATTGAACCCAGGACCTTTGAGGCCAGCCTGGGCAACTTAGCAAGACCCTGTCTCAAAATCAAAAAGTACTGGGGCTGTGGAGGATCCTTGGRTTCAGTCCTCAGTACTGTAGAACAAACCAGCCAGCCTCCCACATTTTAGTATTTCAGCATTAATTCAGAGACAGCTAGATGTAATAACCAGGATATACTACTTTGTTTTACTATTTCCCTGTATTTCTAAGATTTGTTTGAATTTGTTTATCTTAGTTCTTTTTTTTAAACTTAAAAAATGGAGAATGGTTTTTGATAAAATAAATACCAAAGAATATGCACCAGAGACAGTATGTATGATCTGCAAAACCTGGCCATTTATCAAAATTTGTTGACGTGTATTCTAAGTGATAAAGAACTTGAGTTGTATTCATATTTTGCTATAATGTTGGATAGAATTTCCTAAATGTTATATATGATATATTGCATTTGTTAAAGTGTTAACAAACTTTCATTTTATTGGGGCAAGTTCAATGTCAAGTATTTGGTTTCCTATTAAAGATATTCTCAGTTATGATAATTTTTTACATATGATTTTATTTTATTTAATTATTTTAGTACTGGAGATTTAACCAGGGGTACTTTACCACTTAGCTACATTTCTAGCCCCCCCTTGTTTTTTTCCCAAATTGAGTCTCACTTGGTTGTTGAGAGTGGCCTCATACTTGCTATTCTTGTCTCAGCCTCCTGAGTCGCTGGGATTACACGTGTGTGTCTCTGTTCCCAGATAAAAATTGAATTGAAGTGTTTTATATTTTCTTTAAAATCAGCCTAAACAATTAATTGTTTTCCCTTAAACTTTCCTTGTGATTATAACACCTTTGTTTATAACATTCAGTTTATCTTTAAAATGACCCTTATAAATTAAATGTTTGGTAGCTTATAAAAGGTCAGATATTATTAACAAATGGAACTCAGTTTTAATTGTGTCACCTTACACTTATGTGACCTTACATTTTTTTGTAATTATCTGCCTTATTCAAAAACAAACAAACAAACAAAAAATAGATTTCCTTTGTGTAAGATTGTTGCTAAGATAGGCTTTTATAATAACAGTTTTTTTGGCGGGGAGGTGTGTACCAGGTGTTGAACACAGGGATGCTTAACCACTGATCCATATCCCCAGCCCTTTTAATTTTTGTTTTGAGATGAAGTTACTTAGGGTCTCACTAAATTGTTGAGGCTGGCTTTGAACTTGCAATCCTCCTGCCTCAGCCTCCCAAGCTGCTRGGATTACAGGCATGGTCCAYGCACTCGGCTGTAATAATAGCTTTTGAAATGATTTTCTTCAAAGATTCTTTTTTAAAATGTGTCCTTTTTAGTTATACATAACAGTAGAGTCTATTTTGACATATTGTACAAACATGGAGTATATCTTATTCTAATTAGTATCCCAGTCTTGTGGAGGTATGTGATATTGAGATTCACTGGTATATTCATAGGAAAGTGATGTCAGATTCATTCCACTGCCTTTCCTATTCCTAATAATCCCAGTTGAGGCTAATGCAGGAAGATGGCAAATTCAAAGCCAGCCTCAACAACTTGGTGAGGCCCTAAACAACTTAGCAGGACCCTATCTCAAAATAAAACATWAAAAGGGCTAAAGTGTTAACAAACTTTTTTTGGTGTTCCCTTCCCTTCATTCCCTTTTGTATAATACAATGAATTTCTATTCACTCCCTCCCCCTTGTTGTGTGTTAGCATTTGCATATCAGAGGGACCTTTTGACCTTTGGTTTTGGGGGATTGGCTTATTTCATTTAGAATGGTAGTCTCCAGATCTTTCAGTTTACCATCAAATATCATTAGGTCATTATTCTTTTTTTTTTTTTTAACAATATCTTTATTTTATTTTTTTTATGTGGTGCTGAGGATCGAACCCAGTGCCTCACACATGCCACATCCCAAGCCCCAAGGTCGTCATTATTCTTTATGGCTGAGTAATGTTTTATATATATAAATTATATAACATTCATCTGTTTAAGGCACCTGAGTTGGCTTAGCTGTTGTGAATTGAGCTGCTATAAACATTGATGTGGCTGCGTTACTGTAGTATGCTGATTTTAACTCCTTTGTGTATATACTGAGGAGTGGTATAACTAGGTCAAATGGTAATAGCATTCCTATTTTTTTAATTAATCTCCATACTTTCCATTGTGGTTGTACCAATTTGCATTCCCATCTACAATGTATGAATCTATCTTTTTTTCTACATCCTCACCAACATTTATTGTTACTTGTATTCTTTTTTTTTTGTGGGGGAGGTGGGTGTGGAGTGGAGTGTGGTACCATGATTGAACCCAGAGGCACTTAACCACTGAGCTAGTTCCCAGCCCTTTTTATGTTTTGAGACAGGGTCCTACTAAGTTGCTGAGACTGGCTTTGAACTTGCCATCTTCCTACCTCAGCCTCCGAGATGCTGGTATTACAGGCTTATGCCACTGGGCCCAAACGTTACTTGTATTGTTGTTAATTGCCATTCTGACTGGAGTGAGGTGAAATCTCAGTGTAGTTTTAATTTGAGTTTCTCTAATTGCTAGAGATATTGAACATTTTTCCATATATTTGTTGATCGATTSTATTTCTTCTGTGAAGTGTCTGTTTAGTTCCTTTCCCCATTTATTGTTTGGGTTATTTGTTTTTATGGTGTTAAGATTTTTGAGTTCTTTGTATATTCTGGAAATTAACACCTCATCAATGATTATTCTGTTATGTTTTAAAATTTGGGGCAATAGAAATTTTATTCTTTACACATTTAAGTGAATCAGGATTTAGTTTAATGTTTATAATAAGCCCCAACTAATAGAATAATTGCTTATTTTGGCTGAGTGGTTATAATAAAAATAATGTGATTTGACATTTTATATATATATTTTTTTCAGACTTACAACCAGAGTCAGTCCAACAAAAGAAATATTTATAAAGCTGTTTCAGGTAATAGACATGTCCTTCATTTTTACCAAGGAAGTCCACGAATGGTTCCTGATGGAATCAATCCAGAATTACATAAAATGTTCATCACACATGGGGTGTATAAACCAAAGAAGCCCTCTCGGAATGTACAGCGGAACTCATCTCTGTTTTCCTGTAGAAATGGTAAATGAAGTTTCCCATTTGACACATGCTTCATTCACCCCCTTATTTTTATCTTGATAAGATAGGTCATATCTTGATATAATATTTCTTTAAAAATCTCAGTATATCTTCTAAGATGTTTTGGGTGTTCTCTTTGGAAGAATAAGAAATTGTTCATGTGGCGAGGGGAAAGACATATTGTCCTTACAGAGTGACAGAAACAAAGCGATGGGGAAAATTGAAAATAATATCACCGACCCAGAGAATCCTCTCCACAAAGTATTAAAAAGAAAATCATTTTTTATATTGAATAAGCATTAAGTTAGATTACAGTGTGCATTATGGGCATCTACTAAGATAATACAAAGACAGAAATTCTCCCTGTGTATATCACTGAGTGATTATAATCCTTTACATATGTTCTTAAGATTAACAGTAACTTGTCCTCATATACTATACATTCTTTCCTAGTTTATCCTAAATTTACCTGGTAATTGAGATAACTGTTTGTGTTAGTGATTGCCTTTATTCAGAGGAATAATAAAACTTCTCTTACTTCTATGACAATGAGAGGTAGACAACTTCCAGAAAGGTGCCTAAGCACTGTTCCTTGATGTTTGCATTTTAAAGAGATAGCGCCTCAATTCTTAAGATGAACATTTTTTATTTGAAAAGCTGTGTAGCAGCTCCTTTATCCTTTATAAAGATTTCCATATATGTCAAAGGGTTAAAGAAGGACTTGGAAACATTAAGTTCCTCTGGAAATGTTCTAAGAAAGGGGGAGGGAACACCTTTCCTTTATTCAGAGGGAAGAAACCTAAATATTTACCCTTAGAACAAATAGTGGTTAAATTTAGACAGGTACTGGTAATATTGAGAGAGTAAAAAACAAATAATGTTTTGAAAAAAATATTTTTGCCAAGAACACAGTAATGAGAATCACTAGCTTAGAAACTGTAGAGACTTTGCTGATACCAAGAAAATTACCCGCCCCCACCCTAGGGATTGAAGTCTGGGCCTTCCAYATCTAGGCAAGTGCTCTACTACTGAGCTATATCCCCAGCATCCCCCAAAAATATCTTGAAATGTTTGCACTATGAAAATTAGAAATAAAAAATTTATTTCTTGGATTTTACTTAATCTTAAAGGGGCTTCTAAAGAATCATAAATACATAATAGTAATTTAAGATTTGGAAGGAATCTTAGGGATCATCATTATTATCAAGGTAGGAATGTTTATTACAACATCTTTTTAAAATGCATACCCTGCCTTAACTTGAATATTTCTGTTAATAGAAATTTTACTTCTTCCCTGTGCATGGTAGCCTGTGCCTGTAGTCCCACTATTCAGGAGTCTGGGTTAGGAAGATTCCTTGAGCCCAGGAATATGAGGCTAGCCTTTGTAATATAGATCCTATCTCTTTAAGAAAAAAAGAAAAATAGATTTTTATTCCTTTATGAGAGTTCTTTTTTTAAAAAAAAWTTATTTTATACATTACAGCAGAATCTAGTTTGATGTATTTAAACAAACATGGAATATATCGTATTCTAAAGAGGATTCTTTTCATTGTTGAACAACTGTATGTAATTGTAGAATATTATACCTTATGTTAAAAAATCTGTCTCTGTATGTTTTTCCAGATGACTTGATTTTGTCTTCTAGATAAAAAGTATAGCTTTTCACAGAGAGAATAGATGTTTCGAGATCTCAATCATACATGGAAACTAAAAAAGTTTTATGTATCTCAGATGTAGAAGGTACAATAGTGGTTACCAGAAGCTTGAGGAGGGATGTGGATGGGAAGAGGTTGGTCAGTGGGTAAAAAGTTGCAGTTAGGAAGAATAAATTTTGGACAACTATTGCATGATAAGATAGATAACAAAAATGTATARTCATCTCTTTGTGTTTGTTGGGGATTGGTCTCAGGACCCCACCAGGTATGTTCAAGTTCCTTAAATACAATGACATAACATATGTGTATATCTTAGGGACATCCTTTCATATACTTTTTTTTTAAAAAAAAAAAACATTTTTAGTTGTAGATGGACACAACACCTCTATTTTATTTATTTATTTATTTATTTATTTATTTATTTACTTATTTATTTATTTATTTTTATGTGGTGCTGAGGATAGAACCTAGTGTTTCACACGTGCTAGGCAAGCACTCTACCACTGAGCCACAACCTCAGACCCCTTTCGTATACCTTAAATCATTTCTACTTTGCTTATAGTACTTAATACAATATAAATGTTATGGTAATAGTTGTCATATTGTATTGTTTAGAGAATAATAGCAAGAAAATAAAGTCTACATGTTTGTACAGGTRTAACCCCCTCACCCCGAATATTTCCAGTCTGAGGTTGTTTGAATCTACAGATGCATTCTCATGCATAGCTTCTTTTGGACTTTTTTGTTATCTAAAGTCTGGATGAAATATAGTATGAAAACTTACAAGTGAAAACTAGTGTGATTGTATTGTAGCAGTTTTGGAAAGTTTGAAATTTGCGGTGGGGATAAAAGCTAAAACTAAAAAGGTTGTAGGCTTAAACTTTTAAATAGGCAATGGGAAAAGAGAAGTAAAGTGCAGGGGGAATAGGCYTGGTACTTCCAAAAATGACATAATAACACTAACTAAAATTAAAAAAAAAAACCTATAATAGAAAGATCAGGAGGGTAGAAGGAAGGGAGTATGGAGAGGGSAAGGGAGGGAGGGAAAGGGGAAGTACTGGGTACTGAATTAGCAAATTTCATGCTTTTATAATTATGTCAAAATGAATTCTAATGATATGTATAACTAAAAAGAACCAATAAAAAGGAAAAAAATGACATGATAAGTTGGGCGTGGTGCACACTTGTAATTTCAGCAACTTGGAGGCTGTGGCAGGAGAATATCAAGTTAGATCACCCTCAACAATTTAGGGAGACCCTGTCTCAAAACAAGAAATAAAAGGGCATGGGATGTGGTTTAGCAGTAAAGTATTCAATCCCCATACCAGAAAACAACAACAAAAATGAAAAACTGACATTACAAAAAATAAATTAAAAAGTTTTTAAAAAGCTGCATAATAGGTTGGGCAGGTAGCAAGGCCTGTAATCCCAGAAACTCAGGAAACTGAGGCAGTTCCAAGTCAGTCTCAGCAATATACCAAGTTGCAATAGGTTTTGAGCATAAAAACAGAGTTGAGCTGGGTGCATTCCTGGTTCCCTGTGATTTGGGAGGCTGAGGCAGGAGGATCACAAGTTTGAGGCTGGTTTGGGCAACTTGATAAAACCCTGATTCAAAATAAAAAATAAAAGAGCTAGGCATATAGCTCAGGGTAGAGTGCCCCTGGGTCAATCCCTAGGACTAAAATAAATAAGGAATTGCTGCATAGAAAATTAATTGTTTTTGGCTTCTGTAATCTCTAAAGGAAAATAATGAAGTCATYGCTAAAGGTTAGTTCCTAGACAGAGGAGTACTTTAAAAGAGATGAGAGAAGTTTAGAAGATATGTAGAAGCAGAAAGTGATAAACAGATTGCATTCCTATAACAAATTATAGTTTTAAGAAATTGAGGGCTGGGGATGTGGCTCAAGTGGTAGCGCGCTYGCCTGGCATGCGTGTGACCCGGGTTCGATTCTCAGCACCACATACAAACAAAAGATGTTGTGTCCGCTGAAAACTGAAAAATAAATTTAAAAAAAAAAGGAATTGAATTACTTAGAGGATGTGAGTAGACAAAACAGTTTAAGTTGATATTTATATATTTTGTGTTTGCGTTTGAAGATTTTTAAAAACTGTTTTTCAATAATTTTTTCACTTACAGGAATAAGGCAAAATAATTCAAATAACTGGTTTTTATCAGAGGAAGAATTTAAGTTATGGAACAGGGTCTATAGATTAAGAGACAGCGATGAAATTAAGGAAATAACACTACCTGAAGTACAGTTTGTATCTTTACAGGATGGAGAAAACACATCAGTAAGTTGATCATGGTTTCAGATATTCCTTATAATGATTATGCAGTAGATTTGTGAGTAATGAGTGATGTGATTGGAGTTATCAACTTACTTTAGAAAGTAAGAATGTAATCAGTTTAAAAAGAAAACCTAGACTGTCTTTTAAAAATTACTAATTTTCCTATTTATTATATGTAAATGTAACTGATATTTTTGCATAAGTTCTGCTTTTTCTTCCATTTTTTACCCCACCATATAATTGTTTCAAAATGGGCACATATTTGTCATTTTACTCTGTAATACATGTAGTTTGCTCTGCTATTGTTTCCTTTTGTGTTTTGGGATTTTTTTAATATTTAACATAAGTTTTGTTGTCATGTGCATTTTTATTTTTACAAACTATTTTGATTTTTGTTTTTAAAGTATAGTTAAAACTTTAAATTGGGTGTTACTTATTTTTTTCATGTATTATGAACACATTGATAAGCTTAATGAAAGTCAAAAGAACTGATCAAAGTTTGCRTATATGTAATTGCTATAGCTGGAAAAACAACCTCAGAAATGATTTCTTTCAGAAGATTTATAAAGCCTATAAGATACAGCTGTTAGAATTTATTTTATTCATTAAAAGGAAGAGTAAGGAATGGAAGCAGGCATGAAAAGTTGGGATCAGTATCACCAAAAGATTATGAATGTTTCCTTGTTAGATTATAATATAGACCGAGCAAAATAATAATTTTGAAGCCAAAAATATTTGCTTAAATATTTGCTCTTAACATGAAACTATATAAATAGGAATATGGTCAAATTGTAACTCATATAACAATTATTTAAAAATATGCTTAAAGGAGCAAATTTATATTAAATCATTTTCCTTGAGATTTTAGTCGACAAAGACTAAATGAATTCAAATTATTTATGTTAGGCTTTTTTGCATATTAAGTGTGTTTTTTTAAATTAGTTTGAAATCTCATTGTGTGTCTGTTTTTATCATTTTTATTATTATTTGAATCATTAATCAAGACTCTACCAACTCTTGGGATTCATCAGCTCTCTCTCTCTGAATGGAGAGTGTGGCAGGATCATCCTTTTCCTACACATCAAGTTGACCATTCAGATCGATGCCACCATTTTGTAAGCATTATGCAAATGATAGAAGGAATGAGACATGAAGAGGTAGTGTTTTATATAACTTTCTTTTGTTGCTGTGATAAAATAAAGTACCCTTTATTTTTCTTAATTTGAAGTTATAATGRTAAGAAAAAGTATTATTTATATTTATTGAGTAATAAGTATTATCATTTTATCTGCCTCAGTTTCATCTATRTAATAGGAATAATGATAATGGATACTTCCATAGGGTTATTGTGAAGATTAAATTACAATACATGTAAGATACTTAAAATAGTAATTGGCATATAATAGGCACTCAATAAATTGTGGCTGCTATTTTTATTATAGTTATTGTTTGAGAATATTTGTAAATAAAGTAATTAGTTGTTTATTCCAGAAAAACAATGTCATCAAATTAACATGTGTTTACGGAGTTCCAGCCATATGCCAAATTCTGTTCCAGGCCTTGTAGCCACATCAGTGAATAAACTAAATACAACATTCTGTCTGTGTGGAGCATATCTATTGGCAGGAAAACAGACTGATTATTTTAGTATTTATTGTATTTATTATTCAAAAAAGTGGGGCGTTAACTGCTCAAATCTGTGAGTAGGGGAGGAATCCTGAGTAAGTAGCATTTTGGGAAAAGAAGAGGGATGGTGAAAATTGTAATTTTAGCTTAATGGCTGAGAGAGAAGTAAAGCTCCTTCCTAAATTCACTTTGCAAGTTCTTGTTTGGGGACTTTGTTAAAAATAGAAATATATTCAAAGCTATAGCTTGATAGACATACATATACCATTGTTTTAAGAGTTTCTAAATGCTGTCCTTAATTTACTATTGTTGAGAGAATAAATTTAACATATGTATGTGATTTTCATTAATGTATATTAATTTCTTAACTTTTAGGAAGTTAGAACATTATTAAATTAAATGTTAGAAGTGGAAAAAGTCAATATTTTTATTTTTATATATTCATTAAATTTGTTATTTGTGTAACTAGCTATCATGGGTCCTTTGTTTATTAAATGTGAGGAATAAAAGAATAAAATGATTAAAGATAATTTGATTATTTCAGTCATGTCATTATTGTTTTGATTTATAAGAGTAATTTTTAAGACTTATGATAATCATTTAAATAATGAAATATTGTTTGCAATGTATTTAATATAGAGTGAAACATTTCTTAGAAGTATAATTTTGTTTTGTTTTCCTGTGACTTTCTTATGTTCCTTATTTACAGGATGAATGCAGCTATGAATTGGAAATGAAATCTTATTTASAAATGGAAGATGTTAGCTTGGCATTTAGCATTCCCAGGAATGACTGTAATAATCTTGCCAATGATACCTTAACTACTCACAAGAAATCTTCATTTATAAAGAATATAAATCAAGGCAGTTCACTTTTAATGACAGAATCTGATGAGAAATATACTGAAATTTTTAAAAAAACTCACATCAAACCTACTAAAATTGTTTCTGCAACTAAAGAAACTTCTAAAGAAACGACAACTAAAGAAACTTCTAAAGAAACGAAGAAAGACTGGCCTAATAAAGAAAATTGTGATGATATTAATTCTTTAGATACTGACAGAAATTCTACTGTTGAAACTATTTTTCAGGTAGACTTAATAAATGGTAAAAAGACAGATGGAATTTCTGCCACATGTACTATTCATGAAAATGGTGTTAATGAGCCAGGTGTCTTAGTAACAGAGGGTCAGTTTACAAATAAATCTAGTTCTTTTGCTGGAAATTTTTTAGATTCTGGTTATAATAGTTTTAGTGATGAGAAATCTCTTTCATCTAATTTGTTTCTTCCATTTGAAGAAGAGCTTTATATAGATAGAACAGATGATMAATTTTATAATTGTCACTCATTGACAAAAGAGGTACTTGCTAATGTAGAGAGATTTTTATCTCATTCTCCTCCACCTCTCAGTGGATTCTCAGACTTGGAATGTGAAACTGCTAAGGGTTTTACATTTGAGAATTTGCTTTCCCTACCCTATGCAGAGCACATACTAAATTGTAAGTCCACCTCTTTGATGTCATGTTCAGCTATGAATTCTCAACAAAAATTAGGATTGGATTTACTTAAACTTATCAATCATTCTTCAGAAAAAAGTTGTCTCTTTGATGCATCTAATGATAAGATTTCTGATGAGTCATGCTTCAGTGGCTTTGATGATAAAGTACATAAAAATATTAAAAATGAAAATATAGTGACTAACAACCATGTTCAAATATACACAAATCCTGCGAAGAACTTAGTTGACGGAAATAACTGTGATATTGTTAAAAATGACCTTCCAGTGTTGTTAACTAATCAGGATGAGAGTTTATCACTATTTGAAGAAGGTAATGAAGAGTTTAATGACGTGAGCCTTTCTCCTTTGAAGAGTGATTGCAAATCTTTATGTGTGTCAAAAAAAACTGTTATAAGTGAAATGGCTCCTATCTCACAGTTTTTAATTTCTGATGAACATTTATGTGATAATTCTCAATCCCAAGATCAAATTATTAGTGGTACTAATAGCTGGAAGTCTCATGAAGATTTGAAAGMTATCCATGAGGAAAAACGGAAGAGTGATCAATATGCTTTTGATTGCTCTGGGGATTTATTTTCCATTACCTTTGATTTAGGATTTTGTAGTTCAGATTCTGATGATGAAATATCAGAACAGCCATCAGATACAAATAACAGTAGACTTCAAGATGATATGTCTGGAAGAAATGTATGTATTAAGGAGGCAAAGGATACACATTATGTCTCAAATCAACCAAGAGATCATGTTAGAAAATTTACCAGTGGAGCCATACCTATCCCATCAAGTGAAGATATACACAGTCCAAATTTTGTACATTTTCCACTGACTGCAGCAAAGGGTAAAGAATTTGTATCTCCTGGATTTTCTGAGTTTTCTTTGCCAGTACGAGAAAAAATTATGAGTACACCACTTTCTAAAAACACATTGAGCTCACTTTCTAAGATAAGAGAGGATATGCTTAAGATGCCAGATTCCAATAAGGAAGAAGTAAATCTACAACGTTTCAAAGAAACATTGGATTCAGTTTTTGATGGTTCAGAATTTTCTCCAGAAAAGGCTAAAAGCAGTGATCAAATTTCTCTGCATCAATTCTGTGATTATTCTGCTGAAGGTAAGATTCTATATTTAGGGACTGCAATTGTGGCTCAGTGGTAGAGCACTTGTGTAGCACGTGTGAGGCACTGAGTTCRATCCTCAGTACCACATAAAAATAAATAAAGGTATTGTGACCATCTACAACTGAAAAATAAAAACAAGATTCCATCTTTATAAAAACCCATGACTCTAGAATAGTCTAGAAATATGCCTGTAATTTTTCCACATGTAACTTTTCAGTATAAAGGGTATGTGTGTGTGTGTGTGTGTGTGTGTGTGTGTGTGTGTGTATGTATGTATGTATATACATGTATATTTGTCAAATTATATTTTTCTTAAGATGATGCTTACTAATATAAGATTTTTATATGCATGCCATGGGAAAAGTATTATGCTATATACTGTAAAATATACAAATAAATATAAAGTTTTGATTGTAAAACACATTTATATAGCATACGTTTGATGATGTCAGTAAAATGTGGAAATTACCATAATAAGATAGTGACTGTTTAGGAGGTTCAGGAGATGACAAACTTTTGAGTTATATTGGAAAGCCTTCATATATATGTTGATTGTCATTTTATCTCCTCAGAATTTTTTAAATTTAGATATATTGAAAATAATAAAGAATTTATATGCAATAAGATGGTGAAACAAAGGAAAAGAAGGAAGGTAAAGAATTTTGTGGGATAGTTTGAAGTAAAAGGATTTATCCAAAAATATTTGAGACATAAGACCATATTTAGAGGATTGAGAGTAGACCACAGAATATCCAGAAAATTTCTGTGATCTGAGTTAATAGCTACAGAAAAACTAGAGAATATAATGCTAAATATTTGGTATTAAAATGACTTAAGTATTTTTTAAATTCTATAGATCACAACTGTAATTTATTTACAAATTATTTTGCCATTTATGAATTTTATTCCTTATAACTAAAGAAAAAGAATAGTTGTAGGATAAAATGAGAGTTTCCTCTGTAAAATATTTTCCTTATGTTATTCTCATTAGTATTGAAGGCATCATTCATGAATATTCTATGTAGGAGGAAAGCATTTTTAAGGTGAGTTCTGGAAATAGGTTTAATTTTCAAAACATGACTGTTCTGCATAGTTTGAGGTGTGTCCTGACATATGTATTTTCACTAAGTGTATCTTGCCTCTGAGCTTTCAATATTTGCTTTAATGTGACTGTATTTGTTAATGGGTGAGGTTATTTTACTGTTTCTGTGTTAGATTTATGCTAAAATATTTTTTAGCATTGTACTTAACTACAATGATGAGCAATATAATCTTTCGTGTATATATATATATATATATATATATATATATATATTATTTATTAGGGACTATGTCTTTATTCCCTGATATACTTTATTTCCTAATATATACTTTTCATTTCATCTATTGAAGGATTTAAGATCACTTACCATATTATATATATATATTAAAAATAGCTCATTCAAACAATACTAAGGCAGTTAAAAAGGAATCCTTCTATAATTAGTTCTTTACTGTAGCCTAGCCCTTCATTTAACTCTGGCTTCCTTACAAGGTAATGAAAAAAGGAAAAAAAACAGTTAGATTATGTAGTGCCCTTCCCCCAGTAATTTCATCATTAGTTTATTAAATCATTTTCTATATTTTGGTCACAAATATGTGGTTCGTTCATAGAAGTTTTTTTGTTTGTTTTTCTTTTTTAGTGCTTCTTTGCAAAAAGGAATCATTCAGGTTTATCTGTCTGGGTAGATGTTCCCTAGCACAGAATGTGAGGAGAAGCTTATTGTGTGGATTTGTAWTATCTATTGCTGTGTTACAGAATACCACAAAATTCTGCGGGGTAAATGTTAGAATAACATTTATCTCAGTTTTCATAGATCAGGAATTCAAGAGTTGCTTAGCTAGGTGACTTTATGGCATAGGATTTCTCATTAAATTGTTAATAGTCAGGATTTTTTCTGGTTGCAGTCATCTGAAGGCTTGAATAGGCATGGAGAATCTGCTTCCAAGATGAATATCTTACCTTTTTTTTTTTTTTTAATTAAGGTGTTGAGGGACCTTTATTTTATTCATTTATTTATATGTGGTACTAAGAATCAAACCCAGTGCCTCACACATGCTAGACAAGTGCTCTACTACTGAGCCACAACCCCAGCCTGCATTTTTWAAATCTTATACTTAAACGTACATGTTCATGTACACATATGTATACAGAGAAATAAAAAAGAATCTTTTAATACATAATTTTGTAGACTGTATTTTAATGATTTCATTCATTCAAGAAAGAGGATAATAAGTGCAAGGGGCAGAAAGACCATAATAGGTTTGRAGATGAATTCTAGACTAAAATTACATCTTGCTTTCTCTTGTTCTCATTTCATGCAATGTATAAAGCTGAATCTCATTCAGGATTTATTATCAAAGTTATTGTCCCTATTTTCCTCATTGGCACTGTTTTATTTTTCTCTCTCTTTCCAGGCTGATTTTTTTTTAGCCAAACTTTTGAAAAACTTTTTTTTTTTTTTAAAGAGAGAGAGAGAGAGAATTTTTAATATTTATTTTTTAGTTCTCGGYGGACATAACATCTTTGTTGGTATGTGGTGCTGAGGATCGAACCCGGGCAGCACGCATGCCAGGCGAGCKCGCTACCGCTTGAGCCACATCCCCAGCCCTTGAAAAACTTTTTTAAAAAGTAAATAAATGTTGAGATTGCCAGAAATATTCATTATTGGAACCATTTGTAAGGTAGGTAGTTATGATTGGGTAAACTCAAATCTCTGACTGGATTTTTTTTAATAAATTACAGATGAACCATTACTAGTAAGCAATGAAAGTGAAGATGATGAGATTTTCCTAAGAAGTAAAAAACGAAAAGGAAATGTTTTAGAATCACCTGAAGTGAGTCATTCAGTAATTACAATAATGTAATCATTAAAGAATATTTTCTTTCCTTGAGGATTTTGTATAACCTTTCTCAGTCTGTTTATCCATTTGCTTACTTTACCTAGGATCAGAAAAATAGTGAAGTTGATTCTCCAATTCATGCTGCCAAAAAGCGCAGGTTTCTTAGAGTAAGTAAATAGATAATGTATAATAATTTAGATTCTTTTAGAATAAATCTTAAATGTATGTATAGGTAAATATAGTTATATTTTATCTATAGGTATATGGGTAACAGGAAAATTGATACTATATCTGATGTGATTAGAATTTCTACCTTTGTTGGGTGCGGTGGTACATGCCTGTAATCCCAGTGGCTTGGGAGGCTGAGACGGGAGGATCACGAGTTCAAAGCCAGCCTCAGCAAAAGCGGGGTGCTAAGCAACTCAGTGAGACCCTATCTCTAAATAAAATACAAAATAGGGCTGGGGATGTGGCTCAGTGGTTGAGTGCCCCTGAGTTCAATCCCCTATACCAAAAAAAAAAAAAAGAAGAAGAAGAAGAAGAATTTCTGCCTTTTAGTTTTCAGAGCTGTATTTATTGTAGACTTTTCTAAGCGTAGTACTATGTTAAGGTGCTGGGGATATTATCAAGAATATATTCTGTTAGGCATGATAGCACGTGCCTATAATTCCAGTGGCATGGGAGGCTGAGGTAGGAGGATCC